ACAGAGGTGGTGGTGGATCCTCCCCATCTGGTCATTGGAATGTATAACTAAATGTTGGGAAGAAAATGAGGTTGAAAAGGTGAAAGTCCTTTGCCTTAATACAAGAATAGAAGGCCTAGAGAGTGAAGGAGATCTATGAAACAGTATAGACAGAGACCAAGTGATAAAATGTGTTTGAACAACAAGATGAGCAAAGAGAAACCATTGAATAAATCAGAAAAGGGTCAATCAATGAAACTGAAAGAGCTCCAAAATTACCTAATATCATAGAAGGCAAGGAAAATGGGTAGTACAAGGAGATTATAGCCAATGAACTCAGGTGATCGGTCCACTTCAATCAGAAAAGTGCTTTGTTCCATATCCTACTAGAGAGAGTAAAAGTTAATGAACTTCATACTTCAACACAGTGAACACTATAGAAGAAAAAAAATGGTGCTATCATTTTATGTGGTACAGCCTCCCAAATTTATATTGATAAGCAACCACTGAGGTGATGGCATTGGAAGGTAGAGCTTCCAGGATGCAAGGTAATGGGGGTTCCTCACTCTAGAATGGATTAGGCACCAGGCATGGCGGCCTGTGCTTGTAATCCCAGAGGCTTGGGAGGCTGAGGCAGGAGGATCTTGAGTTAAAAACCAGCCTCAACAAAAGTGAGGTACTAAGCAACTCAGGGAGACCCTGTCTCTAAATAAAATACAAGAAAGTGCTGAGGATGTGGCTCAGTGGTCAAGTGCCCCTGAGTTCAGTCCCTAGAACCGAGAGAGAGAGAGAGAGAGAGAGAGAGAGAGAGAGAGAGAGAGAGAGAGAGAGAGAGAGAGAATGGATTAAGTACCTCATAAAAAAGTTTGAGGGAGAACTCTTCTGGTCTTCTGCCATGTGAGGACACAGTTCATCCCTTCTTGCCCTTCTACTCTATGCCATGTGAGGATGTAGCAAGAAAGCCCTCATCAGATATCATATGCCAGCCCCTTGATCTTAAACTTCTCAGCATCCCGAAGTGTAATTTCTATTGTTTATAAATTACCCAGTTTGTGGTATTTTGTTATAGCAGCACAAGCATACTAAGACAAGGAACAAAGTAGCCTGTAAATGAGGGCTTCATCTAAGTACAAGATCCAGAAGCTTAGGTTATTCATCTGTCCTTTTATTCACAAAGGCAGGAGTAGCTGGGCTTTCTGGAGTGGAAGATAGAGACCAGAGATGGAATGAATGTGAATGAGACACTGGAAAGTATGTTGTGCATATATTACAGGTTAGGTACCTCAAGAATTAGACTTCAAGACTGATATTTGTGGTTGGGAAGTGCTTATTATGGAATGTTCTTGGGTCAAACCCAGGAGAGAATAAGGGAAGCTGAACTTTGATGGGGAAATTAGAACAGTGGCTTCATCCAAACCTATAGGGAACTCTGAATCTAAAAGTCCCTCCAAATTATCACTAGTAGAAACAAGAGGATAAGACCTCTGTATGCCTACAGATCTCAGATATGAGCTCTCCCAAGGAGGGTGTATAACCTTTAATGAGGCATATTCCTTAGGTCAACAGCAAATCCTAGAGAGACACAACTGTGAGCCCCTAGCAGCCAATACTCCCAGCAGTTAGAAAAATACCCGACTTGCTATGAAATGAGATCTGAGAGTACATCCCAGTATCAACACTAGTCCATTAGTTTTGTTCTTGAATCCATTTGCCTCATATAGTAGGATACTTCATTTGGGAACAGTTCTTCCAAGATCTTGATTAGTCTACTTTTTGGGAAAACTTATCTGAGGAAGGGTGACTAAAGCAATTATTCTGGAAGCTATAACTGATATTTATAACTAAAAACTGGCTATGACCCTTGATTAGAAACTCTGCTGGCATCGTAGCTGATCTGGTGGAGTGAACCAGACTATTTTCTTAAAAGTTCTACTATTTCCTTAATCATCTCTAAGAATGGGCTGCTGCTCTTATCAATTTACCTTCAGACTGCACAGGAGAATTTCATCAGATAACTTTAATATATCATCTAAGTATCTAGCCTGTTACAATATTCACTATCCCCATTGTACTACCTTATCCTTGTTGTCAGCTTCAATTATACCAGGCAGCACAGACACACAGAGTCCACAGATGTGGATGGACAGAAGCTACTCCTAAGGGAGTCACTGGAAATGATTATCTGTGGAGTAATACTTCTATGACTAATTCTACACACTTATGTATTCTGATTATTGGGGGGTATAGTACCATATTTTAGGATGTATATCACAATCTAGAACATGGCACCCCATCCTTGTATGTTACCATCTCCAAGATGAAGCCTTTGAATCACATTTAAAGGTTCTTCTGCTACTCCACCAGTGCAGTAATTTTTGAGTGATACAGTACATGACAGGACCTGTTAATCCCCAAATCATGTGCCTATTGCTTTACTTTAAAGTGAGCCTTTTAGTTTAACTGAATTTATGTGAGATTCTATGTCAGTGATTTAAAATTCTTTAAGCTCTTATGCAGTGGGTTTGCTGGACTTTACCAGGCATAAAACCAAACCCATTATTAGAGTCTGTGTTAATGACACTCCAGATGAATTTCTCTCTATTCCAGAATGGAAAGGGTCCAGAGAAATCATTTTGCTTCCAAGTGACTAGTTGTTTGATGATATATCAAGGGTTCAGCATTTGTCTCTTTTGCTGGTAGACTGGATATTTGGTAGCTCAAGGATCAGATCAATCTTATTGGGTAGGGAAAAGATACTGTTGATCGCATGTATAGTCTTCATCTCTACCCAATGATTACTCTGTTCAGGAGTCTATTACACTTGCCTTGGGATGACCAAAGACAAGCTGACTGAGTCATTCTCTTCTGTTCAGTTGTTCATACTTGTTACATTGTAGATGTTCTCTGGTGGGCATTAACATGACATAAACCCCTTCACACTTTGTGTATTCTTCCCTGGTTGTATCTATATGCCTCTTTCACAGTTCTCCTTGACTCTGATCTTCCAATTTTTCTCCTTCCATGTCCCTGATTAAAAAAAAAAAAACAAAACAAGACTTTCATTTCCTTTGATACCGTGTATATCATTAACTTCAGACATTTTTTTTTTCACAGAGTGAATAACCAATTGCACTACCTGAGTCATGGACTATTGAGAAGCCTTCAGATCTATCTTTAAAACCTACCCACAGGCAAGGCTGACCTACTCATACCATACCCATTCTTTCTCTTTAGCCAGCTGGCCATAAGGAAGCTTCCCGCACAACCATGGATATGCAACTTTAGGCCATCTGATTGCACAGAATACTTCGGTCCTTTGGTTCTGCCTATGACTAATAACAGAGAGACAATTTACATCTTAGAAGTATTACAGCTAGATCTTTCTGAACCTTTAATATGTTAGGAGGGTGATATAACCCAGATCAATGTGGGCAGTTTGGGCTGAATGGTCACTTGGTAACTCACTGTCAGGGTGCTCCATCTCTACCAGGGCTCAGGGTCATAATAGGAGCCATTTTTAAGAAGTCCAAATGGTGCATAATTTGCTGCTGCAGATGGCACTGTCTTGCTTGACCATAGAACTTCATATTGATGTTGCCTACTAAAGAGTGACATAAAACCCACATAACATCTTTCTCTGCACAGATATCTCTAATACCATAGGATCTCCTGAGTCCCGTGGCCCAGGAGTCAGCACTACTTAAAACATAGATGAGATGTGATTCACATATTTTCCTGCACTACACCCCTTTAAAAGATTTTGCATCTTCTAGTATATAGGTTGGAGTAGTATTTCCAATACAATTGCAATATTTTTTTTTTATTCACTGAGTCTAATGGGAGACTGTTGAAGAAGTTTACACTTGGCCTTCTCTGCTAAAACAGCCATTCCCTTCGCTGGCCAAGAAACCAAATTGGATATTTGGCCAACTACCAATTGTGTCTATTTAAATTATATATTCAGAGATCAAGAAAACTACCAAATGGGACTACTATAAACTAGAACTAGTGGATGGAAAATAATCCAAACCTGTATTAGGATTTAATTCTTAAAATCAAGATTTCATACTTTCCTACTTTTCAAGGAAAACATTAGGACACATTTCCTGACTATCAATGTCAACTTAAACCCTGTATTTAAAAGTTCTCAAAAACTCCAGCATTAGTTCACAGTTATCTGAGAATATCAGTGTAAGACCATTTGAGTAATTATTACCATTATATAATCTCCATGGTTTTGCAAGGCCTTTGTACCTGGGGTGTGAACATTTTTAATGAATAGATTCCAAGTCTGAAAACTCACTCAGGCCTGGAAATTGGGAAACAGATTATCATTTTTATTAGGGTAGTTGCCCTCAGCCCCTTGATTATCTATCCTTAATTTCTTTTAATTATATAGATGGAGCAATACATTTATTTTGTATGTATTTTTACAGATGCAGCAATTAATTATTTTCATAGCTGCTTTCCCTCTTACCTTTTCCTTCTTATGAGAACTACATATATTTGAACTCTATAATTTTGGGATCCTATCATCCCCATTTCTGTTAGGGAGCTCAGTCCTATAGCAGCATCTCCTAATGCCATATCTGACCTAGAGAAGCCAGCTACTATTGAGCTTTAAAAGATTCTGCTGCTCTTTTCACAAGTTTCTTTTTTTATTTCAAGCTTATTGCTTTGGTAAATGGAGTGTCTTCCAGGCTTTTGTTCAGAAAAGGTTTGACTATTAGTTTTCATGGGCTTCTATCTTAAGTCTACTCCAGCATGTTCCTTTCTCTGAGTCTTTTGATCCCTTCTCCCACTGTCTTCCCCAGGCATCTCTGGCATTTCTCATTCCTTTATGTGGTCTGTAACTTTCTACATGTTTCCAAGAAGCATTAGAGGAATGTGATAGCACTTTTTCCCAGAATCCTTCCCAGGCTTCAATATCCATGTCGACAAACCTTCCATTATTTATTTCCAGTCCTGCTTAATAAAGCACACAGAGGATCCAGTCCCATATGTACTTCTCAGCTCCTACTAGCGTGTATTGTCTGGCCATATAGTTCCTTCAGGATATAGTCCCTTTTCACGCTTAGCAAGTCCAGCACTTCTTTGGTTCTGCTATGACTTAATGTTGGTTATTAATTGTCCGGTGGTCAGGAAAGGAGGTGAGGTAAAAAAAAAAACTTATGAAGGATTCTGTATCTGTCAAACATGGGGGAGCCCTAGCTTGTACCACCAAGGAGTGGGACGTTTTGCTTACAGAGTTCAAGGCAATATGAGAATTCAGTCTTCTGAATACATAAACCCAGATGAAATCATCCTATCCCTCAGGGTTCCAAACCTTTTCAATTGAGGACCTGATCTTAGTGTAGTAGATTTGCTGAAATTGTGAATTCAACCACCTACAGAATTTTACTACTCTTACAGTAAGTCCTGGGTCTGAATTACATCCTCTTTTTCTGTTTTCCTGTATTCTGCCATCTTAGTCTGTTTGTGCTGCTGTAGCAAAATACCTAAGAATGAGTAATTTATAAAGAACAAAAATGTATTTTTTTCATGTTTCAGGAGGATGATAAATTAAAGATCAAGGTGCCTGTAGGTTCAGTTGTCTGGTTAAGGCTGCTCTTTGCTTCCAAGATGGTTCCTTATTGCTGCACCCTCTGTCAGGGTAAAATACTGTATCCTCCTTCACAATAGATGATATAAGGGCAAATTATCCACATCAATATGAAGCCTCTTTTATAAGGGGTTTAATATCATTGCAAGACAGAAGCCCTCTTGGCCTAATCACCTCTTAAAGGCCCCACCTCTTAATACCATCACATTTATCTACCTTGCTGCCAGTGAAGCCCTGTGACACTTATACTTAGATTTTAGTTGATGACTAATCACCCTGAAACATTCAATGTTTTGTCCCTCAGTACATCAATCAAACTCAGCTGCAGCCATCTAATTCCAATCTTTATAATTATACTTCCCCATATCTCTCAAATACCTGGTGTATAGCACTTGTAAGTCATGTCCTGGCCATTACATCCCATCCCACCTCATTGCCAGTAAGTTTTACCAACTGCGTTGTTGCTGAGCAACAAGGGGTATACATATTCTACCTACCACTAGTAGTAGGCGCTTCCTTGCCAGCTGCACAGAAGGTTATTCAGCCCGTACTTCCATTCTTGAGTCTACTTTCTTGGATCACTTCTGGTAGCAACTGTTGTAGTTCAGGTTCCCAGGGAAACAGATTCTAAAACTCTATTATTATCAGGCAGGAGGTTTATTGTGTTGTACCTTTGAGAACACCTGTGAAGGAGCAAGAAAGGATGGATGGGTGGAGAGAAAATTTAATTGCCACACAGTTCAACTGTCAACTCCACTAATTGCACCAGGAGCTTTAAGTTAGGATCACTTCCTCTCCGTACCAAATTAAAAGACTTAATCTTTGCACTCTTGCAGCATTGACCAGTCTTTGAATGAGGGACTCCTTCTAGGAGGGAATGTAAGGTGAGGTAATTTCTTACTCTTAAGACACAACTGTGTTCTGTGATCCCTCAACTCCTGGCATTAGGGGTAACAAGTACCTCAGTTCTGAAGGGGGATTTCAGTGTAGCATGAAAGCACCCACTGCAGTTCAGTGTTCACATGCAAAGTCAGGGAGTGCTGCATTCAAGAGCAATCGAATTGTATATGGAAACATATAGGGATGGCAGACATGGTGGTGCACACCTGTAATCCCAGTGGCTCAGGAGGCTGAGGCAGGAGGATCATGAGTTCAAAGCCAGCCTCAGCAAAAGTGAGGTGTTAAGCAACTCAGTGAGACCCTGTCTCTAAATAAAATACAAGAAAGGGCAGAGGAAGTGGTTCAGTGATTGAATGCCCCTGAGTTCAATAGTTCAATCCATGGTACCTCTACTCCCCAAAAAATATATAAAAGGTTAAGTTTGTGGATTGAGGGGAATATGCCGAAATTTCAGTCCTGAAGAAAAAAGGTATTTTTTGTCGTGGATACTGGAATTCCTAAGGACTTATGCTTATCTTTATCTGGAGTAGGATCATTATAAAACCTAAACATTCTATGCATAAAATGTGTTCCCATGTAGAATAAACTGTTGTACTATTTTCAACATTACGTAAAAGTAAAATTAGTCTACCTATTAAGCATCACATGCTATCTCTTGAATCAGTCCCTGTGGCTCAGGAAATGTTATGCAGTATGGTGAGGATAAAGACAAGCAAGTCCCAACCTTAAAGCTGATGTCAATCCTCAAAGCCATATGTTTATAAGGGTGAAAGAGATAAAAACAAGATCAGCATTTGAAGTGTTATCATTAGCTTTTTTAGATTTTATTTAAAAATACTTATAGACTCAGATTTGCAAAAATAGAGTCCTATGTACCATCACTCAGTTTTCCTCATAGTGACATCTAATATAACTGTACTAAAATATCAACACCAAGAAATTGACCTTGGTAAAATATTGTTAGATATATTTCATTTTCACCATTCCTAAAGTATTGATTCTTACGTGGGTAAGGAGGTGGAGTTCTGTACAATTATAACACATGTAATCAAGATATAAGATTATTTTATCAGCACGAAAAAACGCCTTCATGCTACACCATTATATTCACACCCTTTCTTCTGCCTTAGCCTTGTATCCTGGAAACCACACCTCTGTTCTCCATCTCTGTAAATTTATCATTTCAAGAACATTATATACCCAAAAAACACACGGTGCATGACTTTTTGGACTTACCTTTTTCACTCAACAAAATTTCCTTAAGATCCAGACAAGTTATTACATCAACGAATATTACATTCATTTTTATTACTTAGTAATATTCCACAGGTGTGAATATTCCATAACAAATCATGGTTATGATTATTCCATAATCATTCACCCACAGAAGTTCATTTGTTTTTTCCCCCAACTTTTGTTATTAATAATTAATCAGTCTGCTATGAACATTTGAGTATAGGATTTTGTGTGGATATATATTTTTATTTCTCTGGGAATAATACTTGGGAGTGTACTTTCTGAGTCATATAACAAATGCATGTTTAATTTTTAATTTTGTAAAGAAAACTTTGAAAAATCTTTCCAAAGTGACCATAACATTTTACATAGCTACCAGCAATATATGAGAGACCCATTTTCTCTGCATCCTTACCAGCATTTGGTATTATCACTATTTTATTTTGGACCATTCTACTGAGTATACCTCATGTGGCTTTAATTTGCATTTCAATAATGCCTAATGATTTTGACAAATTGCCAATTTTTGTTCAAGTAAATCAATTAGGTTATTATTTCTAATTTTTCAGCATGGATTTTTTCATTATGTGATACTCTTATTTCACATACAAAAATTATTAAACTATTAACTAAGTACTAACTGCTATATATTGCTTATTTCCTTTTTTGTGTTTTATAATATTAGAGATAGCTAGACCATTAAAAATTTCTGGTAGAACATTTACTTCACATAGTAGGAAACTGTGGCCTAGGAATATTCAGTAACTTTTTCAAGACCATCATAGCTGGAACTAGAGTCCAGACAGGGAGTCTCTTGTTCCAGCATCATCTCCTCCTTCTGCCACTCACTTCCCCTCCCTTACCCCTTCTACCCTCCTCTTTCTCCTCCCACTCCTTCTTCTTCATCTTCTTCCTCTTCCTCTTTCTCTTCTTCCTCTTCTTCTTAGGTCACTCTACCACTGACTTATATCCCCAGCTCTTTTCATTCTTTGATTTTGAGTTGCTAAATCTAGCTTCCATCTTGTGATCCTTCTGCTTCAACCTCTCAAGTTGCTGGGATTAAATGTGTGGGTGTGTGTGGGTGTGTGTGTGATGCTGGGGATTGAACCCAGGGCCTTGGGCATGCAAGGCAAATACTCTACCAACTGAGCTACAAACCCAGCCCAAGCATCCTTTTCTTGAGACCACTATGTTTTCCTAAACTAGACATATGTGTGTATATATGCATGGGTTTTGTGTGTGTGTGTGTACACACTCACATGTATGAGGTTGATGAATGGTTTCAGGTTTACTACTCTATCAAGTACCTGGCTTCCCAGCACCCTTAAATAAAGGATATTAAGACATTGCATAATATTGCTTAAATTTACAGAGAATTGCAAGATCTATGTAGCTGGATCCCTGGGGACATCTAAAGTTGAGGGGATGGAATATGGTAGCCAGGTGTGAATAAGGTAGATATACAATTCACCTGGTTTGAGATGTGAGTGGATCTGGAGCTGCTATGATTAGGTCATCAGGGCAGAACTCTTATGAACATGATCAATGAAAGAGGCTCATGGGAGCTCATTTGCCCCTTTTGCCCCGTGAAGATGAGAGGAATGAAAGCTTCTGTGAACTACAGGATGGCCCTCCACACATAATGAACCCTCTATCACCTTGATCTTGGGGACTTCCCAGCCTCTGAACTCTGAGAAATAAATTTCTGATGTTTATGATCCAGCCAGTCTATGGCGTTTTGTTATAACAGTCCAAACAGAGTAACTCACCTTGATAAGTTCTGAGAAATTCAACTAACTCAACGATTGGTGGAGGTGGAGGTGGAGGAGGGAAATTGAGGGCTCTGTGAAAACTGCCAGACCATTCCTCTGCTTTCCTCCGCTCTCACTATAATGGCTCAAGAGCATTGTAAACGATGATGCCAAAGATCTGTAACCTCTGAGCTGCTGCTGACCTTGAGGAAATTTGTGGAGGTGGCTATCACAGAGGCAAGATAAACATACCCTGGGGAGCAGCAGGAGCAGGTAGTAATACTGAGAGAGTACATGAGACAAGCTTTCTGCTGGCTTCACTTCCCAAATATAGTGGAGGGAGAAGAAACCACAGGGATGAGAAAAAAATGTGACTCTTGTATTACCTAAGTAATAATGGAACATCAACTGAATATGAAGGTAAGTAAAACTAAAATCAGGGTGAAAATAAAGGGAAAAATAAAGTAGGCTTTTAACTTTTCAAAGAATACTAGGAGTTTTGGTTCATATACTCAGTGAGAGCAGGTTTAAATTAGTATTTTTGGAGATGGTTCTGTTTTTTGGTATTTAGAGTCCAAGGAATGTCCATGAAAATAGATGCTGATGGAGTGGATCTGAAAAGATAGAGATATGTAGAGGTGAAGGTATTGGATGGATCTCTATGGGTATGAAAATGTTTTCTGTGAGTGCAAACCTTGTGGTGGAAAAGAAGACTATGGACTAAACCTTTGGTAAATGAGAGTGAGTGATCAAGAGTGTGATAAAACAATCTTTAAAAAAAGGAGAAAGAAAGTCTCAGAGCAGAGAAATTTTGCAAGTTGGAGGAAGAACAATCATGTGCAAGCTGGACTTGAGGGATTATGGTGAATAATGGCTCTATCCTAATTCTTTGGAATATAGAAAATGAGGAAGGACAATGCTCTACACTGGTCATACTGAACAGTGCCCCAAAGGATACTAACAGTTCATACCACCATGAGAAGAAAATACAATAATTCATGTATAATATTTAACAAAAACCAGGAACATAGAATAGGTACATGTTATTACTATCATTATTTACTACATAATAAGTCATTACTATTATGCAAACAATAAATATTTAAGAGAAATAAAAATTGTTTCCATTTTCCAGATAAGGAAATTCACATTTAAGATTGGGTGACCTCCTCAAGTATGCAGGACTTGGGTCTGTAGGGCCAGAACAAGTAGCTAAGACCTTGTATTCTACCAGGTTCCCCACTGCTATGGTTTGGATGTGAGGTGCCCCCCAAAAGCTCATGTGTGAGTCAGTGTAAGAAGGTTCAGAGGAGAAATGATTGGGTTGTAAGAGTCTTACCCCAATCAATGAATTAATCCCCTGATAGGGATTAACTGAGCAGTAACTGAAGTGATAGGGTATGCTTGGAGGAGTGGGGATTGGGCCATATTTGTATATGGCAAATGGAGTCTCTTTCTACCTCTTAATAATTATGTAAGCTGGTTCCCTCTGCCATACCCTTCCACCATGATGTCTTGCCTCACCTTGAGCCTGGATCAATGGAGCCTGCAGCCTATGGATTGAGACCTCTGGAACAGTGAAATAAAGCTTTCCTCCTCTACAGTTGTTTTGTCAGGTCATTTAGTCACAGCAGCAAAAAGGCTGATTAAAACACCTACTGTCCTACAGGGTTGTGGAATCATGGATAGACACATGTGTCTTTACCACAGGTGGCCTGTGTGGGGCTGCATCACCCATCTCAAATTTTGAAGTGGAAAAGAAAATAAGCAAGAGAACTTGCTGGTAAACTCTTGGGGGTTCAAGTCATATCATGATGAGGAAGGAGTGCTTATTTAAATCTAATTGTTTAGGTGTCTCTGTTCAAATAAAATATTCCTTTAATAAAGATATCACTAATACATACTAAATATGGTAAAAGCACTTTTCACTTATTAAAGTTTGGGTGCTTATAGAATTAATCTAGTTTTTGAAATTATTATCCAAATCCATTTTTGCACTTTACAGGTAAGTAAAGAGTAAAGTTTCTTTTGAAGTCAGTTGGTCATACTCTTTAAGACAGAGACCAACCATTAATAGAGGAAGATATCACAGAGATAGACTAGAGAGAAGGACATTAAGACTTTGGCATTTCAGTCCAATCAGTATAAACTCTAAGAAGGATAAAGCTGGTAAATAGTTGAGGTATCTAAGATGAAGACTCTTCATATCACATAAGTCAAAACTGAAGGATTTGCAAGAAATTACTCAATGCAAAATATAAATTTGGAAGAGAACAGAATGTGGAAAAATTATTCTAAAACATTGCCAATTAAGCATTCTGAGTTTGACTAATATGGAAAATGATCTGCCTCAGAGGAATGCAACAGAGGCCATGAACTCTGATTCTGAATTGGGAGACAAGTATTGAAGGGAAATAACCCAAAGAAGGAAAAGCTAAGAATATTAATTGCTTGGCAGAGGTATGTCCAAGGATGGTATGACCCATCTGAAGAGAACATTATGATGGCCCTTTTTCTAGGTCCAAGAACAAAACATTCCCACACATTGAATTCCTCATGAAATAAGTGACAATCATGGAACCTTACCAAAAATCAGATTAAAATAGGTATTTGGCTGAAAGTGAGCCAAATCTGATATCCAGTTTCAGCCAAATACTTTCAGTGAAATTTCTTGAGAGCCAAATGTTCTTTGAATCCAGAAAGACCATATTTTTGCTAATTAATGTAACCATATATAAATAAGGTGACCATATACTTTATCATCCAGGCTGGAACATATTTAAGCAAAAGGGGATGCTGTTGATAATAATGTGAGTATAATGGGCACCAACTAAATCCTGGACATAAGATCACCTTATGTAAAAACATTCTTATTCAATGGATTATGGTGATAGAAAATGTACAGGTAGATGTGATAACTTATGTCCTAACTCTAGGCTTAGAGTTCACTGTTAGCCAACACTGTGTCTCGATATATGTTGCAGATTTCAAAGAATTTCAAAAATTGGTAGAAATTAAACGCAAATAATTATAACATGTGTGTACAGAATCCTGATATCACAAGTGTGACATTTGTCTATTCCTTGGATAAAAAAATTAACTAGTACTCTGTTCTTAGTTCTTCTATGAATATGCATGTATATGCTAACTTCTGTTGATTATACATTAATGGAATTTTCATTTTTTCTCACTGTCAAGAGAGCAACAAAGGCCTTTTCAGCTCCCAGACCAATCTTTGATAGAAGCAATCTTCAAAGAACCATATTGCTTTTTTTAAAACTTTAGGATAAAAACAAAATAAAACAAAAAACACAACATTTTGATTAGAGGAATTAATTTCCTAATTGAATAGTTGAGGTATCTAAGATATCTAAGATTTTGAGAGTTTAGATGCTGCTGATGATAGCAACAATAATGAAAGCCTTTTGATAATCTAATACATTAGTTTTACCTCTCCCTAGACATATAAATTCCATATTTTAGTGTATGGACTCACCAGCCATTGACCAAAAGAGGAATCATAACTGATCTTCTCTTCACACACCCCACATCTCATCTGTCTGCAGGTCTCTAGGTTCTACTTAGAACACAGAAGTTGAATATATTCAACATACACTACCCCAAGCCACTTTAATTTCTGCTAATCAGACTTCCTATGTCTAGTCTCCATTGCTGCCACAGGTAATTAATTACTGTATTACAGGTACAGTAATATTTTTTAAAGTGTGAAGCATATCATTTAACTCCCTCCTTAAGTTCTTCAGTGGCTTCTCATTGCACAAAGACAAAACAGCCCTTCTTGTCCTGACTGGTTTGGACCCATATGAGCTCATCTTCAGCTATTTTCTCCTCTCCTCACAATAATTTGGCCTCATTGCCCTACTTTCTGCTCCTCCAGGATGCAGACTCAGGCTTGTTTCTAGACTTGTTTCCTGACTCAGGCTTGTTTCTAGAACTTTTCTCCATTTATAACACTGTGTGGTGAGCTCTTCTTAAGCTAGTTCCATCATCCTTCAAATATTTGGTCACAAGACCCCTTCTTACAACTTTCAGAACTATCTATTTTACTGCAGTTCCTCTCTATGATACCTGGAAAGTTATTTTCTAGAGTAATTGCCATACACTAATGGTTGAGTGTTATTTATGTCTATCTCCTCCAACAGCAGTGTAACATCTAGAGCAAGAATTGATACACTATTTTTTTTCCTCTAAAGAGTCAGATAGTAAATACTTTAAGCTTTTAGCAACAAATAGCCTATTTTCAAAAAATCAAAAAACAAAACAGGCAGTTGACTGCACTGGTCTTACTGGCCATAGTTTGGCAATTCTCATCAGGGCCATTACTTTAATATGATTTGCTCCCGACCATAATCTTAGCACCCAGCACAAAGCAGGTGCCCAGTAAAAAATACATAGATACTGAATGAATGGAGTTCTTTTCATGTGCCAGGTACTGTGCAAATATTCATGATATTTCATTCTTACTTAAATTCTGATAGATATTATTCTATCTATTTTATAGACAAGCAAAAGAAGTCCCAGGGAAGTTTACTAATTCACCCAAACTGATATATCTCTTGTATTAATTTCCTAGGGCTATGAGTACCACAAACCACATGGCTTGAAACAACAGAAATTTATTCTCTTATAGTTGTAGGAACTAGGTTAAAAAAAAAAATCACCCAGGCCATGCTCTCTCTGAAGTCTAGGGGTTAGCCATATCTTACTTCTTTGGTTTTTGATGGCATTTGGCATTGCTAGACTTGTGGCAGCTCAACTCCAGCTGCCTCTATTTTTCTCTCCATGCGTCTTTCTCTGTGTTTTCACATATTGCCTTCTTCTCTGTGAGTCTGTGTCCTCTCCTTTTATAAGGAAACCACTCATAGGGTTTATGGCCTGCCTTAATCCAACATGACCTCTTTTCATCAGTAAAGATCCTTTCTCAAATAAAGCCACAATTTCAGTTTTCCTTTTTCCACGTTTTAGGAGGGATAACATTCAGCCTACTATTGCTACCAAATTGTAGAGTGAGAATTTGCACCTGATAGCTTTTCAGCAGTACTCTACAGTTATGACCTCAGATATTAAATTAAATTAAAAGGTTATACTGGTGTCCTATTTTAGAGTTATTTTGAGAAATGATGATTTGAGAGTGTCAGTGGAAATAAGAGGAACTAAAAATCATACCTGTTAGGTACTTTGTCCATGTCATAGTTTCTGACTAGTGTCCTAAACATTATGTGAATGTTGATTTTTGAGGCATTTGATACATATGAATAGAGATATTTTTTTTCCTACTAACATCATTGATCAAGCAAGCAGAATTTCATTAGAAGTTTCCAGTCCCTCTAGTTAACATCTTTGGATATTAGGCCTATTTGTCATGTTTTTCCCCAAAACTTGTCAGAGGCATGTTTCCCCCCAAAACATAGTTCTGTGGTCCAATACATTTGGGAAAGAGGAGACTAAGTCACATAAAACAGATTCCTTTACTGCAGTAAATGATTGTTTCTTAGCACTTTTTATTTGTTGATGTGTCTTGAGAGTTTCTAGGAGAAAGGTATTGTGCACATTTTCCCAAGTTCACTGAACAGTTTTTGGAGAGTATCTCTAGGAGCTATACTTTGGTATATGCTTTTCTAAGTGCAGGCAATTTTCTGAAGGCAAATTTGTAAAAACTCCTTTCTTGGGTTTTAGAAATTGGTTTTGAATCCCTAAAGAAACAAGAGAGATTTCTGACAGAAGGGGAAACACTGATAATCTGTACCAAGGCATCCACTAATTTATAATCAGCACATATTCATTTATTCATTTATTCATTTAGTGATATTACATTTGTGTGTGTACATAGCCCAGGGAAGTAGGTATAAACTTATTGAGAAATAGACTTCTTTTCATTGTCATGCAGATAATGCATGTACATAATTACCCCACAAAGTAACTCTAATAAAGGGAAACCATTAGTTTCACAAAAAATTCATATATTGCAGTCTTAACTGCCAATGTTTGGAATATGACTGTATTTGGACATGGGATCCAAAACAAAGAAGTATATAAGGTTAAATGAGGTTATAAATGTGAGGTCCTTGTCTATAGGACTGGAGTCCTTATAAGTAAAGGGGGAGATACCATGTTTCCTCATGCACACAGGAAAGGTCATGTGAGGACACACCAGGAAGGGAACATCTGCAAGCCTAATAGAGAGGCCTCAGGAGAAATCAAACCTGTTGTTACCTTGATCTTGAATTGTTACAATCTAGAACTCTGAGAATAAATTTGTTAGATAAGCCACCCCATCTGTGGTACTTATAATATTATGACAATCAAAGAATATTAAAGCAGCCCTATTAATTAGTCCTTGCCTTCAAGGGGTTTACTCAGTTCTAAAGTAAACTAAGTCTTTATAGTTCCTTTAGTTTTGTTTTAGAAGAATTTCATGGGAATCAATCTGATTGTAAACCTCTTGAGAACAAAGGATTCATCTGTCTCATGTTTTCATTTCCACATTGACTACCAGAGAGCCAGGCATCTGGCAGAATGAATATACTGTCTACATTTCTACTACTTTCTGGGTGCTAATAATTGAGAAATGCCCCAACACAATTCTTAGAGTCAGAAATAAGGAAAAAAAAAAGCACTACAAAGTGTTTTACACACAGCTAGAAACTTCTTATTTAATCTTTTTTTATTTTGAAAGGGATATCATTCCCATTTCATAGACGAAAAAACAGAGGTGTAGAAAACTTAAGTGTTCTGGCCAAAATCATAAAATCATGGGCAGAGCCAGAATTTCAACTCAGTGTTTTTCCTCCCTGAATATACATTGGACTGAGGAAGGCAAGTGCAATTTTTTAAAAATTAAAAGATGCTGAGTGGAGTGTTTTCATCAATTGCTTAATTAGAGAACAGAGAAAATCTTGATTGAAGCACTTATGAAAAATAACTGGAAATTTTAGTGTACTATATGTTTATTTCTATGACATTTTCATAAGTGACATGACCACCAAAAAGTTAGGCTAATATTAAGTTTTATAAATAAAAATAATGATGAGAACTTACTAAAAATCAAGCATTTTTCTTGGTTCTGTGGATTTTTGATGCCTGTTTTGTAAGGCTAGAGAAAAAATTTGGAAGTGCCCAGAACCAGACAAGAATGACCAGTCCTTGAAATGCACTATACATTTAACCAGCTGGATAAAGTTGTAAAGTTTACTCTGGAGAAGAATGAAGATGAATTGATTATTGTTTCTAAAAGAGGAAGAGTTTCAGTTAGAAGAGGGATTTAGAAATGGAATGAAATTAAGAGGTAATAAGCTTTCCATTACCAACAGTATTAAGATAGATGTGTCTATATCAAAGAAACTCCTGCATTTAAAGGAAGTTCAACTAAACTTTCGAGTTCCTTAAACTTGAAGATTTTATTCAGAAATTTCTCATTATTATCATCATTTTTTAACAAAGTTATTTGCCTCAGAAAACAACAACAAGAAACTAGGGCTACTAACTCCCTTCTGGAACTATAAAGAGAATTCCTGGGAGAGAAACATCTCAGTTCTCTCATCACCATTACTAAAAGATCCTCACAAGAAAATTGTTGAATTTGAACCTTTCTCATTGACATTTTTATAATTATATTAACAAAATTCAGTCTCCACGTTTCAAAGATGATAACATTACCTATTTTGAAAGGGTTGCCTATTCATTTTGCCTTTATCAAAGCAAAAAGACCTCATACCATTATAATGCCTATCACTATGCCAGGCATTGAACAGAAGCTTCTTAAATACAAAAGAATACGGTTGGGTGTTTTTCTTATCTGGGATCATTGTTTCTTGAGAAGGACCTACTGAGGCTCAGAAGTGAGTACGAGATGATAGTGAACATCATTAAAGGAATTAGAGTAGATAATCCATGTACAAGCATCAAAGAAGTTGCAGTTATGCGTTGTGATGGGGCTAACCTGAGCGCCAGATGGGATATTAGAGTTATGATGTTGTGGGGCATCTTCAGGTGAAATTAGGATACAGTGCAAAAGAGTCCTAGTGAGAATGGGTTAAGAAAGACACTGCATCCTAAAGTACAATAAACTCATAAAACCCAGGCTGTTGGAGGTGTCTGTATGTGTGTATGTACCAAAATTATCTAGAAAATCACGTTGCTGTGGCTGTAAACACTTGACTAGTAAATGAGAAAGATATGGTGGAAGGAAGAGAAAAAAAAATGCGTCCAGAGGGTGTTCCATTCTGCGATTCGGAACACGGGGGGTGCTCAAATAATATTAATGCTCTATGATGAAGATGGTAGCGAGGATGATGATGATTAATGCAACCCATGGAAAAAAAATAGGGCTGGGGAGGATGAAAGACAAGGGATGATGACTCATGGGTGAGGGGTACCTGGGGATAGAGCGAGGTGGTGTGCACGTTGGCGAGCGTGGGGGGAGCTGCTGGGGCACGCGTGGCTCGGACCTGGGGAGAGGGCGGGTGGGTGCCGGTGGGCGGAGCGGCACCGGGACTGAGTGGCTGGCAGCTATGTCTGCGAGAGCAGCGGCATCACCCGGGAGCAAAGCCTCCGAGACTCCGCCTAACTGACACCCAAACTCCCTCTCCCTCCCGCAGCCCCAAACTGGAGGCAGTGGAGCCGGAGAGCAGCCTCGGCGGCGGCCGTCCCAGCCCCAGCCCCAGCCCCAGCCCCACCCCCAGCCCCGCCCCCCCCCCGCCAGCCCAACCGGAGACGCCCGGATCGGCGTAGCCTGGTGGAGCCCTCGCCCCCTCGCCGCGCCCGCCGCGCCTCCGCCTGCCCGCCCCCGCCGGCCGAGGTTGGGCTGCGGGAGGCGGCCGGGCGGCCCCTAGCCTCGCCAGGGCGACCAAAACAAAGGCAGCATCCGGGGCTGGGTGGATGCAAACAACCATGAAAGACTGGGTTCTCGCTCTCCCCGGCTCTGCTGCTGCCACTGCCGCTGCCGCTGCTCCTCCTCCTGCTGCCGCCGCCGGGAGGGCTCCGCTGTGAGGGGAAAGCAGGGGCGCAGCTGCTGGGCGTGAATCCGAAAGGTGAGAGCGAGCGAGAGAGCGAGCGGAGGGGGCGGGCAGGCCACGAAAATGTCCTCGACCGTGGGGCCCCGCGGTCCTCGCCCACCCACGGTGCCTCCCCCCATGCCAGAGCTGCCCGACCTGAGCCACCTGACCGAGGAAGAGAGGAACATTATCATGGCAGTGATGGACCGGCAGAAGGAAGAGGAGGAAAAAGAAGAAGCCATGCTCAAGTAAGCCACCCCCAGCCGCGCCATCCATCCCTCCGTGCCTCTGTGCCTCCATCCGTCCATTCACCACTCACTCACCCAGTCCTCTAGGCTGAGTGTGGGGGAGGGGCGGGCGAGGGTGCTGGGTGCTGGGCGGAGGTGTCAATCTTGAGGCCAGGGGCCCTGGCTTGACCAGGGAAGAGGTTAGGGGGACCTGAGGAAGGGGAGAAAGCGACTAAGGCAGGAACCTAGGAGCTGGGAGAGGATGGCTTGGTGCCCAGGAAGATTGGGTGAACAGGGGCCACCTTGGTAGTGGGATATGCAGAAGCTGAGAGGAACTGATCCCACCTAAGTGGAAGGGCCCTGGATTGGGAGCAGGTTAGGGGCCAGAGGATGAAGAAGGAAGGGGGTGGGGTGGGATGAAGAGGTACTGAGGTGCTGAGGACAGCTCCTCTTCTCTTTTGGAGTTGTTTAGCAGGTCAGAGTTACCCCAGAAAAGGGTGCAGGTATTTATATAATAAAAATGCTTATTTTTAGTGTTCATTTTGCTACTCATTCATTTCACAGATCAAGGTTGGGTCTTGTTTTGGGCAGTTGCCATCTTTGGTAACCTGCTCCCCAGCTTCTCTTTAACCTTATATTCATTCTACACAGACTACCTGTGTGAAGACAAATTTTCTTACCTATATATATTGCCATTGGCAACACGAAGTTTTCAATAATGCCAGAAGCTGACAGGGACTCTGGCCTGAATAAAATAGAGATTCCCCATTACTGGTTTCCAAGAGACCTCTGGAGCCTGATCAATTCCTGAAGGAAGCAGCCCAATAAGGGACTGAATATTTGTACATATCCTGCCTTCTTTAGAACCTGTGAACCCTTCAGGGGATCTCTGCCTGGTACCCCATTTTCCTGGGGAGGTTTCTAGTGGTGCAGGAGTGTGTGACACTGTCTGCTGCTGCTGGCCTCAGACAAGGCTGCTTACAAGGTACTGGCATAGAGATTGGGCTTTCCTGGCTCCTTAGCATCACCCCTAAAGTGGAGCTGAAAGGGAATTAATGCTGCCTTCCCTTGGGAAGTCTGCATGCATTCAGGAAAGTTTTACATTCAGGGCTAGGGGAATTTAGAGACCCTGACTGGGACTGATTTTTTTTTTTTTTGGTGTCCTCTGCTTAGCTAAAAGATGTATCTGGGGGCAGGCAATTTGACATGAAGAACCAAAGGGAACCTGTTGCATCTGGAGTTGGCTGATTGTAAAGAAGGGTAGGTAGGGAGCAGGGGTGTCACCCAGGCACAGAGTACACCCAGCTTGGCCTCTCTTCCAGCTCCTAGGATTGTCTCTTAAAGAGAAGATGCTGCCAAGGATGCTGCTTCCCCTCTGTGCAGTAATGCCTCAAAGGAAAGGAATGGAGGGAGGCTGCATTCACAGATGGATGGGTCCCCAGCCAGTGCAACTACCACCTCGAGTGGGGAGGGATATATTGAAGGAGAGATGTGGGAGTCAGGCCACAGCAAAATAGTAGAAATCCAGTCATTCCTGCCCTTTCATTATAGACTCAGGAAAAAAAGCTGTTAACTCAGAAGGCCAGAGCTGGCCTATTCTATAAAGAGCAGCAGGTTTCTGAATTCTCTGCTCCTTCTCATCCAAAAAACAAATACTTTAAGCCTGCTGGCTTGAGGGAGGCAGAACCCTCATTAATCTGCTGCCTATCCCTAGTGGAAGAATAATATCCCTGGTGCTGCAGGCTTCCCCTCTTCTGAGACTAGAAGTAATGGATGGTGTCTGATGGTGCTGCTGTCTGTCTGTCTGGTTGTCAGTCTGTCTGTCTTCACGGTTGCAGCCCCTGCCACCTGTTCCAGACACCTATTCTCTTGGTTAGGATTTACAGGTTTGCCGCTGTCCTTTTGGTGTTTGCTGCAGATAGCAAGTGGATGGAGGCCTCCAGCAGCTAGTGAAAATATGGGCTGCTGCTTGACAGAGTCCAGATAGGAAAGAGAAGGCACAATGCAAGTAGTGGCCATCACACCTCTTCATTGGCTGTTTGAAGCATGGTGGAGAGCAATGGGTTTTAAGTGGAAGTGTATGAGTTTTAAGACAAAATCTCAAATCTGCTTACTGCCTAAGGACAACAATTTTAAGATTGTTTGGGTTTATGTGGCCAGATAAAAATCAGGAACCCTGTTCAACTGCTTATGTTTAACACATCTTTTTCACTGCTTTTCCTGTGACTGTTTTCCACTTGCTTGCAAATAGTGTTCCTTTATTGCATGGATTCACATGATATCTCAGTATGTGATGCTGTTATACAACAGCCCTCTGTAATCCTGGACCTCTGCTTTAACTTTATCAATCAGCCTCCCCGGTTAATGCCTTGCCTGTTGTGCAGTGGTGGATTGGGGAGGGTTTGGGAATCCTAGCTTGCTGTTATGTTTGTAATTAGTGGAACAGTGCTGTACTTTCTTTTCTCCCCCTAGGGGACACTTTATGTCTTAAAAATTGGAGATCATGAAGCTATTCAGATGACATGTATGAATGGGGACTTAATGGCAGGCACCTAGTCCTAGGTGGTGACCTTTCCTAAACTTTGCATTAAAATAGATTGGGAAAGGGGATGCTTTTCGCAGGAGTTTGAAATATTTGTTAAATCAGAAAAAAAGTTTTTGTGGTAATATGTGGTCCATCATATTACACATCTGAGACTTTTCAGAGATTCTACAAAGCTAAAGTTCTGGTAACAGAACAATTAGGCTTAAAATTCACTTTGGGATTACTAGAATGATCACTTTGAGCTACCCACTGTGAATGCCTACTATCTCTCCACTAGATATAAAAATAGTCTTTAATAGAATGAGAAAATCGGTGGGTAGCCATGCCAAAACAACATTGCAAAATATCAATTAAAATATATTTGTATAGTTTCATTAGTCTTGATTATAAATTACTACTTGAATTCAGTTTTGATAATGTCATTAAATCTGCATAAAAAGAAAACCCAAGCTACTTTCACCTCAAGATTTTAGAGAAATTTTATAAGAAATCAAAAGTATTTACCATAAAAATAGATTTTTGGCAAAGTGCACTCATTTTTCTATAAAACTGGAAGTGACTGACTCCTGTAAATTATAGTTAATGATTGATTAATTATCTGTTAATTAGAGGTGTTTTCTTAATCGTAGTAGGCGTGTAGGGGGGTGTGTGTGTGTGTGTGTGTGTGTGTGTGTGTGTGTGTGTCCATCCATCCTGGGGACTTTTTGAAACCCAACTTCCTCAATGAATTCTTCTTCAAGTAACTCTCAGTAGACATCATGAGCCAGTACATTACATGGACTGAAAACTGCACTATCTGGTACCTAAATCAGAGAATACCTTATTAGATATAAAATCTTATTCCTTTTTAATAATAACTTCAAACATAAAGGAGCTGTAGAATAGCAAGAGAAAAACAGAAGCATAGAATTAACGGGATGGTTTGAAAATGAAAATTGAAAACCATATTGGAACACTTCATAATAATAGCTAACATTATTTACCATCATTACTCTAAATTGTCATTTAACCTGATGCCAAATAGGTGAACTATGCTCAGTTAATATGTGTGTAAATATTTGTATTCTCACAATAACTTGTGCAAAAAGTAGTCAGGTATTAGAATTCTCAAATCTTTACTCTATCCTAAACTAATTTGCACACCAATGCACACCAGACTAAAAACCAGACCTTTTAGTCCAAGACTAAATGTTTTCCCATATACTACACTATCTATCTATAAAGAGGACTCTTTTTATATATCTTTTAAAAAATGAGCTTCTGGTCTTTCCTCAGTTTCAGAGAAGTGGTTTGATGAAAGATTAAGCTGATTCAGAAGATAAGCTGCTGATCAAAGTGGGGGCAGGCTGGAGCTTCACTTACACTTGTTATTAGAACATTCCTATGGGTGGAGAGAGAGGGGATTTTCTCCAGTTTGAAGATAATAAAAAGAATCTTGGTGTACTCAGAATACCATTAACTTTGGCACCTTGCATTTTGGGGTTCTAGTTATTCTACTTACTATGTAAACATGGGTAAGACAATTATTGGAATTATATAAGGTTCTATTTTTCTTACAAATCCTGCAACCCATGGTGTGAGTTGATTTATTAAGAATATTGACTTTGAACATCTCGCTCTCATTTATTAAAGCTTCCTCCTTCATGGATAGGAGATAGAAAAAGAAGAGTTCTTGTAACTTTAACTTTCCTTCTTTTTCTCCCTCCAAACTAGCATAACATTATGTCCTAAAATGTATTTTTAAGGTCATTTGGAGAGAACTTAATTAGCAATTGAGGAAAGAATGAGAAATAGACTAGGGTGACTAGAAAGTTTGGTGATAAAGTCTCCATGCATACAGGTATCATACTTTCATTGGCAAATTTCATATCACATATTCAGACATATTCAATCACATTTTCATGGCAGGGATGGGTGAGAAGAAAAAGGGAAAAGGCAAGTAGTGAAGAGGGGTGGGTAGAAGAGGAGCAGGTTTATAACTAATCCAAGATGATGTGTTAAGAAGGAAGTACTGGGGGAGAAAACACTTTCACTTGGAGTTTCAGCTTCTTCACATGATCAGTTGATGGAGTTAAACTTTAGGAAGTTAAATGCTGAAATCTACTGACACTTTCCACCTTGAACAAAAACCTATCTCAGCAGATGTCCATGCCCACTGCTGAATTCCCAAAGGCTTAAAGAAAATGTAGAAAAGTGAAGCCTTAGAAATGAAAGATATGAAGAGTTATCAAAGAGAACAAGAGACAAAAATGGAGAATAAGAGTAATTTAAGAGACTTAAGTTACTATTTAAGTAATTAGATTGCTAAATTAGCAGTATACTATGCAAACCAGCATGAGCTATTTGTGCTACTGCCAACTTGAATAATAGAGACACAACATCTTGGGTATGTTAGTTGCTCACTAGTTAAATAAGAAAAAATGATTTGTGTAGACCTATGTAATGAGCTTCACAGAAATATATCAAATGTGACTTC